CCCGTCTCCGGGCTGCTTTGTAGCCAAGTTATAGCTTTTTTTCAGTGACACGGGAAGCGCCGCCCATCTCAAGTACGCCCCGCCCATCTCGTGTCTCCTCCATTTGGTTGGACAGCCCTTTGTTAATATTACTGCACTGTGCCTCATGGGGGACTGCTCTGGAACCGAGTTATGACTTTTTCAGTGACATCGCTAACTTTCGACGCACGCCCCGCCCACTGTGGGCGGGGCTTACCATGGGTCATGGTGCTATTTAGGTTTTGTCCCATGCTCTATCCATCCCCACCATGACCCGACCCCTCCAAGTTCTTCTTCAGGTAAACTTTGCGTAAGAGCTGCTTGCGTCGTTTTCGCAATCGAAAGGGGAATATTCCGCCAGTTCCGCCATTTACTGAAGTAATTCGCTCTGATAAGCGACTTTGTATTCTCCGCTCACCACTACCACTAACTCACCTAAAAGCACCCACTATCTGCTCATTTCTCTTTTTCCTCTCTATCTCTCTCTCTTTCTCTCCCTCTCTCCCTCTCTCTCTCTTTTCCCCACCCTTCCCTTCCACATAAGAGGGGCTGCTGATTGGAACACAGTGGCGGAGGCGCAAGCCATCGCCCTTCGCTCCGCCCTGCCGCCGCGTGACGTCAAAAAACCGCGCCGCATACGCGCACGGGTGAGTTTTTCCCTGGAGCCGTTGGAAATCAACAGCGCTGTGTTAAAATGCCATACCAGGTGAAACAGGCATCAGATCAGAGTGTGAATACCATATCGTTCGGGCCATTAACCGACATATGTGAGCTCACATAAACGCCGCTCGCCAGGGAAATATGCTCCTGTCAAGGAGAAATAACAGAAAGTGTTCCGAAAATACGTATTTGCGGCTTTACACTTTTTGAGCAGAAAGTGCGCGTGCGTCTGTACGTGACCTCTACCGCAACAATGAATGGCCGACATACTGGATTGGCCCATAAGTAATAGTGTTTTTTCCCGCTCGAAATATCGTGCTGAAGATGGAAAATCTATTGGGTTTTATTTGACATTGTAGAGAATTCCTCGCATTATACGATGAGTAATTTCTTTTGAAGTTCCTTTTTCCACTGATATCTAAGTGCTCAGACTGGAGTGTCAGGCAGACGTATTTTCGACAGCCTCTCTTTTAACTGTCAAAAAACTGTTTTTTCTCACAAAAAACTAAAACCGCACACACCCAATTGCTAAGTAAATAGCCAAGAGGCTGTATCTCTCGGGAATGCTTACAACGGTTTAAGTGATTCGAAAAGATTTTAATTTCGACCTCACACAGAAGCATCGAAGTAATGCCCTATTGAGGCCCACTGAGAGCTTACTATATTACCTTATTCACTGTGATTCATGCTGAGGAATTGTTAGAGGTTCTGGAAAGCTTCTCTATCATTATCAACCACCAGCCTCATTTGATGTTAGACGTTCAAAAGTCAGGGAGTAGGTTCTGCATGGCAGTCCCTCTCCAAGAGGGCCTCCACGCGATACTCTCTTAAAAGAGCCGTACTCTCATTTTTTGATCGCTTGAATCAATTTCAAAGCGTCATAAGACGCTCCTCCTTTGAAGATACATGTCACAACATTCGAGCTTGTTTTGTATTTTGAGAGCCGAGATAAAAACAAGAAGCTGTTGCCGAAACTTACTTTTGAGTCGACCCAAGACTCCAATGGAATAAAAACCGATAGAAATCAAGAAACAGTAGGAAGATAATTATATTATCCAATAGAGCAGGGAATTATCTATCAAACAGTGCCGAACACCTTGGAAACAATCGTCATTCTCTATATAAAAAAGTGTGAGGAAAAAAATGCCATTACTTATGGGCCAACCTAATATTTTGTTCATTCTCCAATGTTGTGTTTGTTTCCCAGTGTAGTCCGCGTTGTCGGTGATCATGTCATGTCGCACTCCCTTGTATAATCAGGCTTTCTCAAACCTCTTTCGCAAACCACTACCCTTCACTCCACCCCCACACTATTCAGTAGGATGAAATCGGGTTGACAGGATTCTGCTCCTGCTCAATAAAGACTGAAATAGATTAGCATACTGAATTATTTTTGAACCAGTCGGCTCGCCGGCTGACGCCGGCGCGCCTCTTTCTCATACAGCAGGCACAGCAACTCAACTGATAACCGGCTCTTGCTTTATCTATATGCATGGTTAAAGCTTTTTGACTAATCATATCATAGCTGCTATTTTGAACACTATTACTGAGTATGGAATGTGGTAAAGTGCGTTGATCAAGTGCACAGATGAGAGAATAGCCGGGGAAGGAATGAGTGGCGAAGCCGTGCCCGTCCGGCCAACTTGGGCCGTATCACAGGAGGAGGAGCGCTGGCATCAGCCGCGAGCCGACTGGAATCTAATACCTACAACGACCGGCGGTTAAAGGCAATTCCCGCGACCACACTTCATAGGTAATACAGTTCAAAAATAGAATTGCCCTGTGATTGTTGACTTATTGAAGAGAAGGAACCACGAAAAAGCGCCCGCAATAAGACCCTCTTTATTTCAATTGATCATGATCACCGGACGAGCGTAAGGTGGTCAAGATCGATTGTGGATTGCAAAAGGCGGCGATACACTGATAAGAGACGAGAGAGGCCAGAAAATGACGGGCGAGAGAGCGCAATGGCAGTGTCACAACGACACGGTCACCGGAGGCCGGCATGGGCCTATCGGGCGCCAATGGGCCTAAAACATGAGCGCCGTGCGTTCTGCTTGCTGTTTTTCAACTTTTAAAAGCAGCATATCCTCTACTGTTGCCTGCTTGATCATCATGCACGTTTATGAGGTTCTAGCCTTAGTTTATCGCGGAACGTGCTTTCAAGAATATGGCAGCCATTAGGCTAAAACTCACAAGGGAAGGATGGTAGGTCGAAGTGGCCATTTGAAATGAAATGTATACCGGCTGAAAGGTCTTCGGACGGGAATTACGAAACCGTCTTCCATATCTGCTGCGGACCTCCCAGAAAGAAGTTACGGAGCTTTTTAGGGGGAGAATACACTACAAATTGGCGGCGTAAGGCTGACGAGATCGTGGCAGCATGGCCGAGTGGATACGTCGTAGGGCTCACGGATGCGTGGTCGAGGGTTTGGATCCTTGATGCGTGTGCTCTTTTGCATTTTTTCGAAAGTGGTCCCTGTGCACTTCAAAGCTATTTTGTATAACTCTGGTGCCTGATAATGTCGTGACGTAGTGTTTCTGAACTGATGGAGCCATTGCGAACGATTTCATGGAGATCACCTCCGGCTGAAGAGTCATACGAGCCGAAAACTTCCAGCAGATACGAAAACACTTTGAGATAGACATAATTCAAAATGAAGCTCCTGCCCATCGCGATCTCCAGCAGCATGATTGTCACATCAACGCCACTTCATATGGAAGCATTTTCCCCACTATACTCATCTTCGTGCACAACTTCGTGCGTTCGGATTCGTTTTCCAGTCATGTCGTTTGGAGAATAAAGTCATTTGAAGGCAAAATCTTCCTTTGGAATGCACTTTTGTTGTGTATGCTTTTCAAATCAAAGAAAGAAGAAGACAACAGCCAGAAGTGATCTCTATGGAATGGTTCGCAATGGCTCCATCAGTTCAGAATCATTACATCACGACATTATCAGGGACAAGTGTTATGCAAAATAGCTTTGAAGTGCACAGGGACCACTTTCGAAAAAATGCAAAAGAGCACACGCATCAAGGATCCAAACCCTCGACCACGCATCCGTGAGCCCTACGACGTATCCACTCGGCCATGCTGCCACGATCTCGTCAGCCTTACGCCGCCAATTTGTAGTGTATTCTCCCCCAAAAAAGCTCCGTAACTTCTTTCTGGGAGGTCCGCAGCAGATATGACGGTTTCGTAATTCCCGTCCGAAGACCTTCCAGCCGGTATACATTTCATTTCAAATGGCCACTTCGACCTACCATCCTTAACCTTGTCTGTAAGATTAGGTACGCCGTGTACTCCGCCCACTGAGTGCGGGTCTCCACACATCACAGACACACTCAACTCTCGCCATGTATATCTCCTCTCCAATTTTAGCTCTTCATGCAGGTTCGAACTGTTGAATTTTGTAGCAAGCACCAAGCATCTCCTCAGCAAGGACCTTCCATTTTGTGGATGTCTCCCCGTTTCGTCCGCTGACCCCGTGTGGACTCAATCCTCTTATGCCAGGTGCCTATGCTGCTCCGCAACTGAGTCGTGAATTCTTGAATCTCACTTCAATGCACGCTCCGCCCGCAATGGAAGTGTCTATGTCACTTCAACAGTTGCACTCCTGCACATCTCTTCACATGTTGACGGTGTCTGGAGTGCTCTGAAACATTTTCGCAGACTTTTTGTCTGGCTCCGCCCACCGGTACAGGCTCCGCTCGCAGCATGTGCGCCCCACGTTTCTCGATCAGCTAGACCTCCCTGAGCTTAACTCTCGTTTTTCCGGTCTCTAGAATTTTCGAGCTACAAACTTTTGAAATGAGTATCCTGCGACTGAGGGTAGTTCCGCCCACTGTGATCAGTCCAAATACACTTCAGGCGTGCCTAACACTCGCCAAATATTGCCCTTATGCATCGAGTTTTTTTTGCGATATCGAAGCACTCTTCTGGAGCGAGTTACTGGTTTTTGTGGGAAACAGCCCATCTAGAGTACGCCCTGCCCATTTCGGATGTGTCTCCCCCAGTTAGTCTGGCAACCTCTGGGCTGCTCCGGAAACGAATTACGAACTTTTGTCTGCGGTACGCCAACTTTCGGCGGTAGCACAGACAAAAATGCCTGGTTTTCTGCGCCCATTGTGGGCGGGGCTTCGCATAGGTTATGTGCGCTCCTTACTTCTTGTCCCATGCTCTACCCATCCCCACCTTGACCCGACCTCTCCAAGTCGTTCTTCAGGTCGAACCGAATTTCCGGACAGACAAACAAACAAAATACCAAACAAACAAATAGATAAACAGACGAAGCAAATATATATAGTAGGTGATACTACCTGATCAGCGATAGAAGGCGGTAGCAACTGATGCAGTAGATCTTCGACTTTCTGCTTCTCTGCCAAATACTCGCGTGTCCTTTCTTCGACAAGGCCTTCGAGGTTTTTCGCGTACAACTCGAGACGCTTAAGGAGATTGTCAACAAGATTTGATGTCTCGTTATCCCTGAAACAGCGATATGCTACAATAACACGCTGTGATTTGTAGACGGAGCAAGATTGCAGACATTATTGAATGACAAAGGAAACTGACTTATTCAACATCCGGACCGCCTTCCGTATCATAGATATATCAGGTCGGTCATGACTGTCCTCTGCCCACGAACAACGCATCAATTCCAGAAGACTCTTGAAATCAGCGGCAGTGAACGAGAAAAACAAGGCTAAAGTTTACTGTTACCTGGTTGATGTCGTCGTCTGCATCGAGACTGTCAGGAACATACGGCCGGAATACGTCTTCAGAATTCGCCATTGTCTTCTTCACGCGTTGAATGATATCTGGAAGAAAATCAATACAGGAAAATAACAAATCTTCAGATCAACTCTGCTCCCATCAGTTCCATGTCTCTGGATATATGTAGTCCACTCTGGTCAACACCCCTAATCATCCACGATTACATCTATAACCTAGTATTTTCTATCTATTAGGTCATCCCATTCAAACGTGCCGCTAGATATAGGGGAATGGCAGAAACATTTGGAAGCTAGTACCTTAAGCTGTGTATCTGTGAAATTTGGCGAACCTAGCCCCAGAAGTTCTCGAGAAATTGAAAAGAAGCCCGAGTGGTGAAAATCGGCGCCGGTTTTTCAAATCAGGTGTCATAACAGGAAAGTGCGCTGCTCAATTTCGAGTGGCACCGGACCAGTAGTTGTGTATAATGGTGTTCTTGAAGTACAAGGTGAAAGTTTGGTTCAGGAGCCCGAAGAAGGAAGAGAGGAAAAAAAATTGTTGTTCTGGATGGTCCCATAATGTTCATCCTGCACAAGAAAAAGGGTGGATGAAGTCAGGCACTGAATATCTGATCACAGAGCCTGGACCTTTGTCGAGTTTCCCCGCGAGACTGACATCCCTGCTGCAATTACTGTACGTGTTATGACCGATAAACTGAGGATGGTCAAGGGGGTGTGCGCATGGGTACCTAATTTTCTTATAGAAGCACGAACGCAGTACCGATTCTATACCTCTAGCAGTAATGTTCTCAGCATGAGATGTCACTCACAACTGTGAAAACACCCCGACCTTAGATGAAATATGGGTGGTCTTGGACCTCGAGCCGAAACTCACAATCGTCAATTTTGTATCAATGCAGATGAGAAGCCGCCCAAATTCTACCATGAGGAATTACGTGGGTGCAAGTGGATGATCATCATAGCGAAGGATTCCCACTGTGACTTTCAGGCGGCTCTATACAGAGAATAAAATCGTCGCTGTCGGTGTATATTGCCTGTTCCTCGGCAATCAGATCGACAAATGGATGATACCACACAACTACAAGAAGGCCACCGTTGCTCGTCATAGTGCCAGACCGAGTAACTGTATTGTAGGGCAGTGCTGGGACACAAACAATACTGAGACCTGGGTTCAATCGCCCCATTCGCTCAACATAAAGCCGTTCGATTCCAACTGATCTGGTTAGTCGAGGGTACTCTCTGACGGCAAACGCTACAATGCTTTGTCATTTGCCGAAACTGGCATCAACAGCAACTTACCCACACTTGTTGAAAAATGGAAGGTACCAGAGGTCCAAAGGCTTTCGGGGCACTGGGAGCGGGTCATTGGTGAAGGGAGGATTTATTTGACCTAAGGCTAAAATATTACTTTTTTATCTATTCTCCTCTTTGTTTTATTCAAATAAAACCGGCGGCACGTTTGAATGGGATGACCTCAATAATAGTGCTACTATTATTTTCCACCTGGTGGTGCTTTCAAGTGCACCGATGAGAGGGTGCTCATCACTAACCGGGTGCATCAACTTACAGAAAGCAGCAGCACGCGCCGAAAAGACGCGCTCGTCCAGCTAAGCTGTCCGTGCCATAAAAGGAAGAGCGAGGCTCAAGTTGGTGATTCTCCAGAACAGTTTCGATCGACACATTGTAATTGTATAGAACGTCAACTATTACGACCCTAGCCACTCTGTTGTGTGGCTCATTACTCAGGCTCAGGTGGAAAAAGGTTGTCCTGCGTTTTATTTAAGACAAATCACTAAGGCCCTCCAAAACTTTCCTTTATTTTTGGCACATCACGCATGTACTTTCTACGACCGAGCCCGCTGTGTAACAGGGAAACTTAATGAAACGTTTTATTTGATCGATACAAAAGTCCTCGGAAATTTGTGGATGTACTCATTCAGTAAGGTTTATCCCGCCACCTTCAAATCTACCAGGCAGTTCGAAGAGCCTTCTATGGAGAGAAACGCTCTACAAAACCATTCTACAAAACCTCTGCCTAAAGGTGGTGGTTTGTGTCAATAAAAGGATAAAGGATAAAGTCTTCGCCGTTGATCAATCCCTTTGTGGGATGCGGCACGCATTCTACTTCCATTCAGAATCGTAGTGGCTTATTGAATGCGATGTGGCCTATACAATGACTTGCGGTGGCCAGCCGATGTACAAGTCAGTGTTTTATCCTCCCAGACGAATCTGGTACCAATTTACCGTCCCCGGAGGGTAGAAGGCTTGGTTGGCCAGGGCGAGAGGAGAGGCGATCTGCTCTTTTCTGGCTTTAATCCTAACGATCACCAACTCAGCCTGCAGGGCGTTTGTAAGGAGAGTGCTCCAGCTCTCGTAGCACTGTCTACTCTTGACTCTACAGGCGAGTATTCTATCGAAGATGACGAAACGACAAGACGGCCAACGACTGAGAAATTGTATGCACTACGGGAGCTGGTGGAGGCGGACACAGGCCAAACCACTTCTGAGCTGTTCCGCCAAGCTTGTTGTTAGGCCAGCCGACGGTGGTCCGTGGATTGAAGTCAATAGGAAAAGTTCATAAATTGGCTGATGGGCACCGCATGCATTATCACGGAGGGTCATCGATTGGACGAAACGAAACTTACTCTTCTCACCCTCAGAAGCACGCTTTTGTGGCTGGACAACCTAACCACTGTAGATGAAAGTGGGTACTATACTCCAACAACTGCCGCCGTGCCCAATGGGTAGACAAAAGAGAACAAGGAGAAGACGTCCCGGAACCTGACCTGTGAAGAAAATGACGCTATGCATCTGGTGGAGTGATCATTGTGTAGAATATTAGGAGCTACTGAAAAAAGGTACAACAACAACTGTCGACATCTATGTTGCTCAAGTACGAAATCTGAAGATTCACCGCACGAACACACGGTGTAAGCAAGCCAAAGTGTGCTTTCAACATGACAACGTCAGACCAAGAGCGACGAAGTGTGAAGTAGCGACGTATGGCTGGACTCCTTCCCCACTCACCATACTCTCCAGACCTTGCACCCTCTGACTACACCTATTCTCGAACCTGCAACGCCATTTGGACAGTCAAAAATTCAAAACCCACTACGACGTTAAAAAGGCACTAGATGGATTTTTCGAAGCCTAGCCAACCACGTTCAGGAAGGGCATCTACGATCTACCCACTCGCTGGCAAAAGAATTTAACATGTATGTAATAATGGAGCATATTCAAATGACTAGCTGTGCCTTTTTGATTTTTGTGCAGTAATAAATTTTAGGCTTCAAATGTCCGCGGACTTTTGAATTACCCTAGTAGTAATCAATCCTGCAGTGGATCTCCAGTGTCCCTCTCCTATATAGCGAGAGAGTTTGCGCAAACGCTCTACTTGGTAGATGTATTTGAAGAAAGAGACGAACATTCAAAGGAAATTCAAACATCCCCCACTGACCGTACGGCGACAGGTTCTCGTTTTTAACTGGAAAGACGCCTTTCCGCCATAACACCTCGTGGAGAATAATGGAGAATGAGTAGATGTCGCCTTTTTGGGTGCCCATCGGCGGTGGATTAGGGTTTCGTAGCAACTCCGGTGCAGTCCACAACAACTCTGAAATATGCAAGAATTAAAAAAGTAGCTATCGACGGGCTAGGAATCATACGTGACTCGTTTTTACTTTGTAATATAAATTCAAATCGCTGCGTGTATTGCACTGCACCCGATTAGCTTATTTGCTATATTGTGTGGTTTGTCAGTTTACTGGTATCACGGGCAAAACATAAGCAAAATGCCCATGGCTATGAAAATGGAAGTGTTGGGGGAAAATGGAGCGCTAATGAGAACTTTTGTGCGAAGTCAAGCTCGACGAAAACTTCTTCACAGTTCGCGGCTTCACAATTTTTAATAAATTGCGAATGCTGTTATGGATTTCCTAGTCTGCGAGCAGTCTTTTCCATGGCGCTGCCGTCGCGTTGTCAGTTTGCCTGTAAAAAGTCCGGACCTTCAAGTGGAGCATCCAGCGTTAAATTCAAGCAAGTGATCAATTGAAGACGCTTGAGTTATCCTATACGTGCTCTAACCTTGATTGTGTCCTTTTCTCATCTACTGTTGTTTGCAAATATTTTTGGTAAAAAAGAAGGTTCGTTGTGTAGACTGAATTAAAGACACATGGTACGCTCAAACACATTGAGGGTGTATGAGACTATCAGCCCCCCAGCTGTCGATGTGTCGTGGTCCCCCCGCCCAAAACTGCACGGGGTCAGAGTACGGGACCGTGGGAAAGTCGTAATTCCTTGCTACGCCGCCCGTCCGCGCGGCGCGGTCGCGTGCAGCTCTCTTGGCTTTTTGCCAAGTCCTGTAATTGCGCTTTGGAATACAAGTACAACGCAATTTCTTTATGCGGATAACATTTTAGGTTCTGCAAAATAAGAACTGAAGATGATGACGAGGGCTAGAACTCAAGAGCAACTGTGCTGCTTCTGCAACAGCCCTCGCAGGCCGCGCATTCCCACAAAACATCAAAATAAAAACGGCCTAACAAGGGAGGTGTTTCAGGTCATGGCGCGCTTTTTGGAAATGGTTTGTTGCTTGTTGTAGGGGTCCATACAAGGGTCACAAAAATGGGTTTCATTTTTGCTATGCGTTTCTGGGTAGGTCAAAAACTGAGTGAAAAGAATTTGACAAGAATGGGCGGTTTTAACAACCTTAATGGGCTCCTTTCTGCTTGTAACTTCGAGCATGCATAGTTCAACTTCGAGCATGCATAGTTCAGGTGGTCACTGATTAGGCCTCAAAATATTCGATTAAAGTCAAAATGTAAGTATCATGTGGTAACACACTTGGCATGCACCGACGCAAGAGTGATGTTTTTGTCAGCAAACCCTTCACCACCACTGCAAACGGATCGGATGGCGCAGTGGATAACACGACGGGTTCTGGATGGCACGGCAAGGGGCACTTTGTGGATCGGATCCTTCTCGCGGAAAATGTTTTGCATTTTTCAGCTTTCCATTCATTCGCGTGCCTGTGTGTCTGGCAGTAGAAATAAGTCAAGTATA